CTCTGCCTTTGTGTCATCCGTGGGGAGATTGCGAACACCTCGGCTATCCGTCCGGCGAGCATAATTAGAAGCTTCTCCGGTGATTTGCGAAGGTGTTCCGTGTGGGCGATGATTAACACAGGCCTACCAGCGAATTAACACTGCCTGCCATTCCCAATCGAGATCATGCGAACGTCCGAGATATCAAAATCTTGGAACCCTTCGGAATCGTTTCGAACTGTGGGAATTTACGAAGGTTCGGTCTGCGTGCTGACCCCTTGCCCTATGATTTCTTTCGCAATTGTGCTTGACGGAGGTTTTATTGTTTATAATTCGGTAGAAAGACAGATTCTGTACTCTGTGTCTACGTCTATTTAGACGGTGCAATTAATAGGAAAATAATATTCAGTTTGACTTTGAAGAACTGAATGACATTTATATTCAAATTTTATTTGAAATCTTCGTGAGTTTGAGTTATGAATATTGTAGGTCAAAGGGTTAAGGTGAATTTAATTGTGTTTTTGCGGTTATCTCTATGCATTTTGTATTGTTGTATTATTCTTAGTACATTCATGAGGCACTTTTTTGTATTTTGTATTTCAACTGAAACTGGCAACTAGTAAAGTGGACTGTTTAGTACTCATTAAAATTAAAATACACTCATTGCGATTTCAATTGATATTCTAATGTAGATGCATCTGAATAATTCATTTATTAATTACCTACAGAGCTTTCCGTATCTTGTTAACCATTTGCACTCGAAAGTTTTTCATTGGAAATATTCAACAGTTTCCAACAATACATAGATGACATTGTCTGAAACGAATTTAATGATAATTCACAGATGAATTAAGTAACATTTATTTAAATATTTCACATAGCAGTACAAAGTTTCATTCAGAATACTAATTATTCAAGGTCGTTTTGCTGTATCGAATCAAGTGGTCGAGTCACCTATCGAAAGTTTCTCAATGGAAATATTCAACATTTTCTGACGAGATATAGGTCATACAGTTTGAAACTAATTTAACGATAACTAATAACTAATTTCAATAATAACAATGCAATTCAATCAAATGATTTAATACTATATTTTTTCCGTTTCGAGTAATTTGTACTACGAAACCGCGCGGCATTCAACGTGTTGAATAGCCAATGGTCACTACTTTTTACCATGACGAGTTTACTCGTCATGACACAAAGTCCTGCAACTTCTCCATGACGAGTATACTCGTCAAACACAGTTAACTGGTTAACGTGTAATAAGTAAGTAGTGAGGTTTAGTAAGTTTCAGAATTATTAACCCTTTGCACTCGAGAGGTGACTCTCACTCACCACTTGATTCTATACGGTAAAACTATAAAATTCCATATTTAATATTACACCTCGTATAACACATCAATTTGAGAAATATTGAAATAAAATAACTTTGTTCCTCAATGTACGCGATTTCTCGTCGAGTTTCACAGAATATCGTCTTTATCTCATCAAGAAAATGTTCAAATATTTATCGTGAAAAACTTCCGAGTGCAAAGGGCTAATAGGCGAAATTATGATTGTACATCCATTTAATATTATACCTCGTATAACACATCAATCTGAGAAATCTTGAAATAAAATAGCTTTGTTCCTCAATGTCCATTTTTCTTCGAGTCAGTTTCACAAAATATCGTCTTTATCTCATCAAGAAAATGTTCAAATATTTATCGTGAAAAACTTCCGAG